ATTAGAGGTAATCTGATTACCTCAATTTTCTTAGGTATTATGAGATTACAAGGGTTATCCTTTTTTGTTACAATTTTATCCCTTATTAATGAAAATTTTGGACAATAATACCCTCATTTTAAAATAAATTTACATTAATATCCTATTTCAATTTTACCCTTGTTTAACTAAAATTTTGGACAATAATGTCCTTGTATTTAAAACAATTTACAGACCATTGCCACTCAGCCACCACCACCACTGCCACCCAGCCACCACCGCCTACAGCAGCCAACCACCACGGACCGCCTCGAAAAACTCGTCGGAGTCCCTAAAAAAGAATGAGTTTCGGTGGGAGGCTCTAGGAGTCATCGATATGGCCATTTTTGGCCATATTGATGGCCGAAAACGGCCAGATTTGGCCGTTAACGGCCACGGACCTGGCCGTTAATGGCCAGATCTATTCCGATCGAAATAGATCTGGCCGTTAACGGCCAGGTCTCTCCCAGATCTGGCCTGATATGGCCGTTTTCGGCCATCAATATGACCAAAAACGGCCATATTGAAGCCTCTTAGTCACGTTGAGTTGCTGATGGGGACTTTCGAAGACTTCCGGCAGTAGTCTACGGTGGCGGCAGGCGGCGGCAGGAGGTGGGGGTGATTTTGTAATAAATTAAAGTTTTATATAAGCAGAGGTGTTTTAACTAAATCTGAAATATTGGAGGTTAAAAGAAATTATTCAAAAATTAATAATAAAAATAATATTATATTAATATTTGTAAAGGGGACAATTTGATAATTTAAATAACATACCCACTAATTTATTTCCCATAACCAACCATATTAATATAACATACCCACCAACTAACCAAATATATTTTCTTAAAGATTTCCAGTAATCTTTCAAGGTAATCTATCTTTTCAGTAATCTAACATTCCCAGTAATCTAACATTCATGAATCAATAGTCCCTTAATTAGTTTGAGAAATCCTATAACAATTCTTCATGAAATAGGCCCAAACTGCCTATGAACTTGGGGGCGCTACCCCCTGCACTCTCGTCCTGCTCACCGGGCCCCGCTCCCCATTGACAGCATTAGCCGAAATGCCACAAACAAGAGGCTGCAACTTTGGGCTAATGGGAATAGCTTCAGGATTTGCGATTCAGTGTACAGGCGATGTATTATTCTCCCCATTGTCCCCCTTCCCTCATGAACGTCTTCTCTTATATTAAGGAATTTGATAATGATAAAACCTAAGAGAATAATATTAATCGTAGTGATAATGCATGAGTTTAATGCAATCTAAGTCTTAACGATAATCAATGGGAAAACTCTTTTAATAAATTCAAATATAAGTAGAATATGACTTTAATAAGGACTATATATTAATTAGGAAAATATTTAAATAAGTTTTAAAGAATAACAATATTAATAGAAGGAAACCACCTTTATTACTTAAAGATGTCTTGAGTTTGATTTCTCTCGATTGTTAATAGAGGTGGCCACTGGAAGATATACACGATTGTTAACTTTAGGGTCCGAGGGATTAGTCAAAATGTGCATAAGCTAACCTAGACACCCCCGATCATCAAAAACAAAAATGATAGAAAGATAATTATGAAAGATAAAAAGATTTTAGCTATACACAAATAGGAACGTAATAAGATATGTAAAAGGATATTTAGCAAGGTGAATACTATTAGTAAAACTATTGTGAAACACTTGTTTTGTGGAAGATAATTGCTGGAAAATTAACTAAATAATATCTCATTCTTATATAAATATAAAATAAAGTAGATTATATGATAAAATTAGGGTTTTCATAAATTAAGTCACATTTTATAAAAGATAATTAAATAAAATCGGGATTTCTAATAAAATAAATTAATAAGTCTAACATTACATGATAAGGGCTGCAAATATTTATCTTGAATTAATAAATATTGAAATAAAAGAATACAATTGAAAATTTGAAATTATGGTTTTGCCCAAAATAAAAAGCTTTAAAAGGGTTTTTAAGTAATTTTAAAGAAAGGAAAAATAATTAGAACGAATTTACACTTTAAATCAGTAGGAAATAATATTTAAAAATAATAGAAAGGTCATTTATAAAGAATTAATACGAAAATAAGACATTAGGAAAGCTAAAACGGTAAATACTTAATAAAGAAACATTTTTATAAAACAACATATAAGTTATAACCCCGAAAATGATGAAATTTAAAACTGGAGCTTTTCATATCTTTCTAGAATTTTAGAAAACATAAAATCAGTAAAAACGCTTTTGTATCAAAAATCAAATCAAAAGTCAACATATTGAGTAATAGGCCTATTTTCATCATTTTGGGTTTTTCATGAAAAATATGAAGAAACATGTAATTTCATGCCTAACATGCGGGGATGATGATATAATTACACACAATGCTAATTTAGGAATGTCTTTATAATTTTAATAATGTTTTGCTTATAACTTAGTCATATAATAGATAAAAATTATACAAAATTTATATAAAATAATTATTTTATTTTTTAATTTTTCCCTGATTATATGACTTAATTATAAATATATAATTGCTCTAATAATTTTGAAGGTCATTTGGAAAATAATTTTAATTTGGGCTTGTAAACCAATTTCAAAATTTACTAAGATAAGATACGGAATTAGAGTCCCCCGAAATAGGCCTAATTCAAATAAGTATGTAGGCCCTAATAAGTCTTATTGGACCCTCTATCCTACCACACCACAACCCACCAAAATGCCCCATTAGACAGCTTTAGCCTGTGGGTCTCCCGAGGAGAGTTAAAAAACACAAACCTTGGCACAGAGAGCAACATATCTTTTTGGAGTGTGTAATGGCTTCAAAATTGATTGGGCCTTTGTGGGCTGTCATGAATCTCATGACAAAAAGTGATCAAGGAGGTATAGGTTTTTAAACTATACGTTAGTTAAACTAATTTATAAACTTTAAAATTAAGTTGATCTATTTATTTATAACTTTTTTTGCGTTTATAAGCTAAAAAAAAATAAAAATAAGTTGGAGGAATGTACTTTTTTTTTTTTTTTTTGTTATAAGCACACTACTTATAAGGTAGTTTGATCAAATATATTACTATATTATCCCTATTTAATTTTAAAATTTCACCGTATAATTTATTATTTGATAAAATAATATAGTACCCTTTTTAGTCATTTTAATAATAAAATGTACTTATAAGTCCCATTTTACTAAACGCATCAACTACTTATCAGTCACTTATAAGTATTTTAACCAAACACGTAACTGCTTAAAATTTTAAATGCTGATTATTTGTGATCACGCCCACATCCGTTCCGATTCCACCAAAGTCAATCGGATCTCTCTAGTTAGTGCGAATTTTGGTATCAACATTTTGAATATTTTCTTTTTCTTTTTTAAGAATCTACAAAATGTCAAGTGCAATCAAATGAAGCATAGATAATTATATATAAAATAAAGACAAATTGATGATTTAAATAATTCATTAGAAGTACCAGTACTGGATGATATTCTACCAGTAAGAATTCATTAATTTTATACTTTTGAGGATACATATATATTTCTGGTAATTTAGTAAAATATATATATATATATATATAAAGTGAAAAAGGATCCGCGGAATTACTTTATTAACGGTCGGATTGAACAAAATTTTACAAGAATCCAATTCTCCAGCTTTCGATGGCGGGTCAATTAAAAATCCGTTAGGGTTTTCGAATTTGAAACAGTAAACGGTTATGTTCACTCAACGGCTTCGAAATTTCCTTTGGCTTTGCTTTCTGCATACACCATAAAGCAATGAATAAAGATTGCCGGGTGAGCTAGCTTACGGTCTTCAAGTTCAAGGTACTTTATACAGCTGCACCAGCACCATCTTTTAGTACAATAATTGAAAGCGATTTCTCATTTTGCCTTTTCATTAAATTATATCATAAAAGTTATTATTTTTAATTAAGTTTTTGTGATATAATTATCAGTTTCAAGAGAAAGTCTATGCATCACGATAATAGAGTCTCACAGACTAATACAAGCATGTTAGAACACGACTTCAATTTGGAGGAAGATTTTATGTTGTTAAATTCTCTGTACCCCACAAGTCCACAACACAAAACATGCAATTAATTAATAATTATGTCAAATAATTATTATTTTTGATGAGGGAGATTGCCTACTGAGACATTTGTCTTCTTATGGGAAACTGGTGGGTCCTATTTAATTAATTACATTTAATTTAATTAATTAAGCTTTCACTTCACTCTTATCTGTCAAAACAGAACTCAAGGTATAGGTGGCTTTAAATAAGCCAACCAGGAGATTACCTGTCTTTCTATGTGCTTCATAAATTAATTCTTAATCATTCCAAACTCTAATTTGAGCTATCTTTATTCCTACAATTTAATAGAGTTAATCCATCTTAATTCTAGTTTTATAAAAATTATTAAATAAGAATCAAAATTAGTTTACATCCAATCTATCTAGAATAAATCTTTTACTATTAATTTAAATCATAAATAAGACTCAAAAAATTATTAAATTTTCTATTTAATATTAATAGATAGAAATGTAGAATTTTTGATATTTAATTTTAACATAAATTGACTATAAGAATTCATTAAATTGCAGTAAACAAAGTCTTTTATTAGTTGCCAAAATTAATGCCACTTCAATTGTGTGTGTGTGTGTGTGTGTGTAAGGAAAGAGCTTATTTGATAAAAAAATTAAATGTAATTTTTTATTTTTGAAAATAAAAGATTAAACAAATCGTGTTTGATAAATACCTAAAGTTAGTATAAAATTAAAATACAATTCACAAATTTTTAAATCACAAGCAACTCATCAAATCCAATGAAAAATAATTTGAAAAAATAAAAGTAGAGACAAAGTAGGGGACCTCAAAATTTAATGCATAAGGAGATGGCCAAGTGGCTACAATTATAATTTACAAATAAATAATGTTTTTCTCTTTCTACTCAATATCTCTTCATCTCCTTCTCCACCAACCATTTTCTTTTCTCTCAACATACAAATTTCAATTCTCTTTCTCTTTTCAGCCCTTTGCTTCTTCTTGCACCAAAGCCAGACCATAGAGAAAACGAAAGCAGATTCACAAAATTAAAAAAAAAAAAAAAAAAAACAAATACAAAAGTTAACAATGAGTCTTACCTCCTACCTTACATTAACACATTAACACACAAACCCTTTTCTTCAATCCAACTCCACTCTTCTTCTTCCTCCTCAAGTTTTGACCTTTCATTATCTCAATTTAACCCCACCAAGAAAAATATCAAATCTTGCTCCTCAATTCTTACTCATATTTGTTTCTTTCGTTGTCTCCATTAAACCCCACCAACAAAAATCATATCTTGCTTCTCAATTCTTGCTAAAAATTGTCTCTTTAAACATGGCTGAAGTACTCCTATCATCACCTTCTCATTTCCCTTCTTCTTCAAGCTCTTCCTCCACTCCATGTGTTCCCAATAATTATAACAACAACACCACCACCACCACCACCAATGGTGGAACTTCACAAACCCTACATGATATAGTTCAAGAAAGAGACCAAGAAGACCAAGAAGAAGAGGAAACAGGGGAGAGGAAAGAGAGGGAAAGAAGTGAGGGAGATCAGCTGTCACTTTTGGCATTATTGGTGACTGCTTTTAGGAAGTCTTTGGTCGGTTGTAGTATCAGTAAAGAGCTTTGTTCAATGGAGATTGGGTTGCCCACCAATGTTAGACATATTGCACATGTTACTTTTGATAGGTTTAATGGCTTTCTTGGCTTGCCTGTTGAGTTTGAGCCTGAGATTCCCAGGACGCCCCCCAGTGCCAGGTCTGTTCATCTTTTTGGAATCCTTATCTTTCTTTAATGTTTCAATTTTGAAGAATTATATTGAGGTTTGAGATATGTTGTCAATTGAATTTTTGTTTTTGTGATTAATCTTGTTCTAGGGTTCATACCAAATTATTTCAGACACTTGGTTGACATTTTTGTGTATCAGTTGGGTTTTTTTCATCTGATATGTAAATTTAACAGAAAAGATGATTGTGCTATGCAAAATGTGATGTCATTGGAGAATATTATGGTTTGACTAAATGGATTAGTTGGTGGGTGAGTTGAGTCTCTAAAACATTCCAACATTGACTTTCTTTCTGGTAATTATCCCAAAATTTTACATGTTTCTGTAGAATATTCTTGGGTTGCTTCCAGTGGTGACTTTTCTGTTTATTGTGAGTGCTTGTGCTTTAGCTTTCTATATGCCCATTTTATCTGGGCTTCAGTTCTAGGTTGCAGCTGGAAAAGCATTAATGAAAGACGCTGATAATTTTTGTTTTTAAAGTTTGTTGTAATTTGCAGTGCCTCGCCGAATTTTAAGTCTTCTCAAGCTTGAGCACCATCTTGCTTGTTAATGATAGCGAATAACAACCATCATCTAAACTTTGTCTATTGAACAGTTCTAGGAAGTGAGGAGCAAAAAACCAAATTTTCTTCTATGGCTGGATAGCATTTTAAATTTTTTTTTTTTTTTTATACTTTTTCCTACAGAACTTTTGCTGGAATCACCTGATTTTATGATTCATTTTTCTCAAATTATGCTCCTTTGTCATGAATATTGTTGGTATATCAGCTAATTGGCTTTTATAACTTGATAGTAAAGTTCAATATCAAAGCTAAAAGTCATCAAAATGTATGAGGTTTTATAAATGTCCCATCTACCCCCGTTTTACATGTTTATTTACCCTTCTTTTCTTTTAAGAAATTGGTATGCCCAAAATTCTGTGAGCAGCTCTCATGCATTAGTGCCTTTTAGCTAATCTATGTTTTTGTGCACTAGCAACAATATGTAAACTTGGTTCGGTTTCATACCTGTTCCAAATATGTTACAGACTGTCTATTTTTCTCTGTTTTCATAAAAATCCATAGTCTTATGTGGTTTACATTACTGACTATGATATCCTTCATTTTCAGTGCAAATGTTTTTGGAGTTTCGACGGAATCTATGCAGCTTTCATTTGATTCACGAGGGAATAGTGTGCCTACAATATTGCTGCTGATGCAAAGGCACTTGTATACCCAAGGAGGCCTGCAGGTATGCCTCTTATTTTATTGTTTCATTTGCGACAAATAAATTCAGTTCATGGTGCATTGTTTAACATCATTCAGCAGATAGAAGCTTGATTCTGTGTACATCCTGTCTGTCCTTTGATAAAAATGTAGTTGAGAGAGATATGAATGTGGGCTCTAGCTTCAGCAAACATTAATAACTTCATTTTGCAGGCAGAAGGAATTTTCAGAATTAATGCTGAGAACAGCCAAGAGGAATATGTTAGGGACCAATTAAATAGAGGAGTTGTACCAGACGGCATTGATGTGCATTGCTTGGCAGGTCTCATAAAGGTAGAGCTCTACTCTTTGATCATGGCTGGACTTCTCCTTATCCTTTATTTTATTTGATGTCTTATTTTGAAAGCATGAAGTTGCCCTTCATTTATGCATGGGGCCAAGAATTACCAAATCATCTTTATTTTCTACTGGAACTTTAAACTTTTTCTTCTTGATCCATTTTTTACCAAGTTGCAAAAATTTTCAACTGACCAAATTGTCAAAGGTCTGAGCTCATGTTTAGTGTACTGAACTTCTCTATTGTCATGCAACGACTCTTAATGTCCCTTTGTTGATATGATGTTTGGTCTTAATCTGATTGGTTTCCACTATAGGCATGGTTTAGAGAACTTCCAACTGGGGTCCTGGACTCCCTTTCACCAGAGCAGGTAATGCAATCCCAGTCAGAAGAAGAATGTGCTCGGCTTGTGAGACTCCTTCCACCAACAGAAGCTGCTTTGCTGGATTGGGCGGTAAATCTAATGGCAGATGTTGCACAATTGGAACATTTGAACAAGATGAATGCACGCAATGTGGCAATGGTGTTTGCTCCAAACATGACTCAAGTAAGAATTATCGACCTTTTGAGATATGAAATGAAAATATCAAACTTATAAACTTCTTTCATTTCTTTGTTTTTTGTTATTAATTATTGATATTCTGGCAAACCCTTTATTAAAGGTTGGATCAACACTTGATTGAACAATTTTTTTCTTTTTAACTTGGAGACATATACAAGTTGTTATAAATGAATAGCCACGGTTACAACTTGGCAAACAATTTTGCTTACTCCTTAGGTCTACAGATACTAATACAGGAATGATAATTCACTTTCCTCCTCAAAAGAAAAAAAGAAATGAATCTGATTTGGTGTTAAACTGATACTTGGTGTTTGATGTTGTTCTGATGTAATCTCTATAAGGGATGTAGCTTTGTGTAGATGTAATCCATTGTTTATATTACTGGAGATATGGTTTTGATCATGCCTTGTGTCAATTTCTAAAGGGACATGTATTATCTATTGAAGGTGTAATAACAGCTGTGGTAATTTCTGTATTGCAGATGTCAGATCCTTTGACAGCATTGATGTATGCTGTCCAAGTGATGAATTTTCTCAAGACTCTTATCATTATGACAATTAAAGAGAGGGAAGACTCCATGGTAGAATCAGGAAGAGATTCCCGCCCAGAGCCCTCTGATGAGAATGGGCACCAAAGCTTATTACGACCATATCCTGAGGATACCCACAACAAGTCCTGCAAGGGTAATGATGAGTACAAAGTGTTTGTTTCTGTAGACCCTGCTTTGGAGAGCCCGTCTCACCCCACTCAGCTTAATGCCAATGGATCTCAGTACTTCCTAGCGTCAATCGAGAACATCATTGCCACAGGAAACCGTACTCTGGTTGATAATTGTCCTTGTGAGGTTGTATCTCAAGTTAACTCCTTAGCAAATGGACTTCAAGATGGTAACTTTTCAGGTTTGAGTGGAGGGGTTCAAACCAGTATTTGCAAGAACAGAACTGGTCAATCTAGTGCATTAAGTGTACGGAGAAATTCTAAGAAGCTCACTGAGCTGTCAACAATTGCGGAATCTGGACCTGTAGAGAAGAGCAAGGGAGCCAGTATTGTTGGCCGAATAAATTCAAGGACTGAGCTCTTTGAAGCTTGGCGGTGAAGGGCTGTAAATGCTTGTAGCATTGACGTTGGGGGGTCAGGGATGGTTGGCTAACTAGTTGATAAATGAGTGTTGTGTTTGAATATGTTGTGTATGTTTTGGTGTGTGGTTTAATATGTGTTTCTGGGTGAGATTAGTTAACCTGTTACTTTGTTTAATGTGAAGAGTGTTATTAACCCATTATAACAACTTCTGTTTCTGATCAATCCAAAATTACTTCTCATCTACATGCATGTAATGGTTTTTAGATTTTTCCTGCCTTTAATCAGATGGACGTATGCCAAACATGTTGATGTAAGATAAGTAATTGGATGAGTGCATATATATCTTATTTTATAGAAGAATCTTTGATATCACTTACCTCTCAACATTTTACAAGCGTTATATATATATATGAGTCAAATGTTCAGAATAATAATAATACGATTGTTAAGTGGTCAAAATTTGTCCCATAAAAGTTTTTAATTTTTTTATGATTGAAGGTGTCCGTACTAGTTTATATATATCTCAACTAAGCTCTTAAAACTCTAGAATTATCGACTGAATAAGAGCTCTAGTGACTATCTCTATTAGTATTCGAGGAGGGATTCAAACTCGCAACCTATTGAGTAATATACCTAAAAATTCTTATCGAACTGCTCGGCCACTCAGCGATAGTTAAAGTTAAACCCAGCGATAGTTGTATTGCGTTGGATGTATTTTAATTTTCACTACCCATTTGACCAAAATTTTCGATCAAAATGATATGTATTGTTTTGATAAAAGTTGTCTATTTTTCAACTAAAAAAATTGAATTTTAAAATTAGAAAGAAATTAATCTAAACTCTTGAAATTCTTTCTTCAAAAAATGTGTATTGATCTCTCTCAAATTTGATCAAAAAAGTCTTGGTCAAATAACTATCGGTAGAGAAATTAAACCTCAATGAAGATTTGGGTGTCCTTAGAAAGGTGCTGTAGTTAAAAGAGAAACCCATCTCTGCCCCAAATATAATCTCCATTATAGTCCAGACTCCAGACTCGTTGCTCTAGTTTTCATCGTCTTCCTCCCAGCACAATATGCGTATTGAACTGGAACCAAGTAAGCCATTCGTTTTCTGAACTTTTCATGTGATAATTTTTTCTTTTTGGCGATAAGGGTTCTTGTAAAAAAATAAAATTAAAGAAATTGAAAAAAAAAAGGAGCATTGGTTTCATTCTCAATAACTGGCTGTACCAAGTATTGCTGGATCCACCCGAGTTCTTGATAAGCTTGCTATCATTGATTAGGCTAATTTCAACTTCTTACTTTCTTAAAAAAAATAAAAAAAAAAATTGTTATTTGCTGCTGTTAATTGATTGGTATTTTAAAGTATACGTTTTACAGTTTAGGATGATTCATAATGGAGGTATTCTTGCAAATAAAGATTGTTTTTTATGCTCTTTGTTGTGTGATTTATTTTTACAGTATAGGATAGTTCTTAATGAAATTTTTCTTGTTCTGGTAAGGTTGTGTGATTGAGCATTGGTTTCATTCTCAATAACTGGCTGTACCAAGTATGAATGTTTTCATTTCTCGGCAGAAGAGTGAATTTTGAGATGAATTTATGTTGCTTTCAAAGGAATTTTTCAGCTGCTTTGCCATCTCTGGTTCCTGTATCCCTACCATCTAAAAAGTAAGAATCACCTTATAGTTTATGTTCTATGTTATACATTATTATCTCATTTTTGTGCTTGGTTATTTGGAATGTGTCTCAGCTTCTTTGTTATAATTAATCAACTTATTTTTGGGTACCATATATCTTTGGATCTCAACGTTTTTAGACCTTACTATCCATATCAATGGTGAACTTTTCTTTTAATTCTTTGCTTTTTTTGGGTTTTAGGGAAACCCATTTGTGGTATGTTTTACCTGATGAGGTGAAAAGTGAAACTCTCCTAAATCAATATTTAGAAATTCTATCACCATATGAGAAGGAAAGTATTTACCGAAAGCATGGACACCAGCTCAAGAAAAGTGCACTGCTAGCCCGTGCCTTGGTTCGTACTACCATCGCAAGATGTAAGTCTTTTTGTTATACTTACTACCTCCTTATATATCTTTCTTGTTAATTTTTCTGTTATGTTTTAACTGAACATATAAATCAAATTGAACAATATAGTTAAATTTGAGATAAGAACATTATCATCAATTGGATGGTAGCTGAAGAATAGATCCCATGGTATTAGATATTGGTATTAATATGCATTTTAGTTTGTTCTATGTTGATACATATATGGAAGTGTATGACAGGACACATGCGTTCTAATACTTTTGAAAGTTAAGCTAAAAAGTTTGAATCTACATTTACTTCATATGTACGAGTTTGTTACACCTTCGTTTTCAAAGTAAAATACTATAATTTTTATAGACCAGAAGAAGCTGAAATTTCAAGTTTAAAGATTTATGCATATGTAGTAGATACTGCTTTGAATTTTGTACTTTCATTGAATATACTGTATGTAGAATTCTAAACTGTTTATCTTTACTAGATCAGACAAATTGTCAAATAAATCCTAGATCCTTGAAGTTCAGAAAGAACATCTATGGGAAGCCTGAGGTGAGTTTTACTTTGGATGATCCAATGATCTGCTCTCTGCTTCTTTTAAACCAGTGCTTGCTTTTCCTTCTAATTCATTTTTAGGCTCATTTATTTTCTTCCTTCGATTTAGCCTTCTATTTTGTTGCATGTGGTAATAGGTAGACTGGCAAAATGATGACGACTGGTGCCCGCCGCCATTACATTTTAATATTTCACACACATCTTCTCTAGTAGCCTGTGGAGTGACTGTGGATGTGCCAGTAAGTATATCTTTGCTGGAGAACCTTAATAATCTGGTTTTAATGTGATGACTAAATATGCTACCTTAATAAAAGGCTTTGTTAACTTCTCTCTTTCTCTCTCTATTTTTCTTTTTTGTTTTTTTGGATGCAATGCAATTTAAACTGGTGCCATATATTTTCCTGGTTATAGATTGGTATTGATGTGGAAGAGAAGCAACGGAGGATAAAGAACAATATTCTAGCTTTTGCCAAACGGTACTTTTCTCATGAGGAACTGCAACTTTTAGCTTCTATTGCAGACCCTGAAATCCAACATCAGGAGTTTATTAAGTTATGGACACTCAAGGTAGGCCAGGTTCTTTGAACTACTAAACATATAAAGAATAATATCTCATTGACAAATCATTAAAAATCATAATGTAATATTTTTTACCTATTATTTTCATAAAATGGATATCACTTCCAGGAGGCATATGTGAAAGCACTGGGAAGGGGATTTTCTGCTGCACCTTTCAAGACCTTTACCATTTGGACTAGGGTTGAAACTACAGTAAACTTTCAGCATTTTGAGGCTTTAGATTCTGAGGTTTGTCCCCAAACTTCTGATAAGAGCCTAATATAGAATATGAATGGTTACATGTGATAGTCTACTTATGTCACATAAGCATATTGTTGTGAAATATTTTCAGGTGGCCTTCTAACATGAAGTTGATTAATCTACAATCAAGTTGAGTTGTGCATGATTATATTGATTATTTGAAGTAAAAAAGTGCTCTAAGAAAGGAATATCAAAAATGGAAGTAGGAAAATGGTGAGAGAAATGGGAATGGTTGAGCCCATACAGAACATTGGAACTCATATCCATTAAACAGCCAGATATTATTCATGCCTTCATGGCGTGGTCTCATTTATCTATCCTTTATTATGTTTATATCCATTAAACAATAGGATTTTACTTGTTTTTACCTACTCATTAAAAAAGTTGTTATCATGTTATTATATATAATGTCAAGAACTGAATGAGCTTATTATTTTGTTTACATATCTTAGGAGGCATTTTCTATTAGATATCTTCAAACCATAACATTGAGATGCTACACAGGATGTCATTCTTCTCTGTGATGGTTTGCCAAGTGCTTTCACTCCATTAAATTCACTCTAGAATGTAGCTACTTACAAACTCTTTTCTAATCTTGTTATCAGGCATCTGAAATAGTTGTTGAATCTTCTGATGACCCTGAGAACCTCACAAACAATTGGAAGTTTGCACTCCTTGATTTGGCTGGTTCTCATTATGCTGCAATTTGTGTTGAAAAGGATAATTCCATTGGAGGTGGAACTCATATTAGAATGTGATTAAACATAGTGAGAGTATGTATAGTTTCTAAAAAATTTGCTTTTTATTTGCAGGCGAAACAAATGCTCCAATGAGCTTGGCTGTGTGGAAAACCGTTCCTTTTGTTGAAGATGAGCGTGTTTCAGGAACTGGTGCTGTTGTTGCCATTGGTGGCTCGGTTAAGCAATTCTGATTAATATGCATCCATTGGTTTAACTCTTTGATAATATCTGGCCAGATTTCCAACTTTGCTGTATGAAGCAAAATGGTGTACAAAAATTTGTCAACATTTTGTAACAAAATTTGTCATCATTTTGTAACAAATTTGTGAGAAACTTGATATTATTTATATAGATGTGGTTAAGTGTTTGGGAAACATTTTCCTTTCCAGCCACAAGTAAAGGATTAAGTCATTGATATTGATTTTTAAGTACTCAAAAGTCAAATTGTTGTATGTACTGAAACTGCATAGCTGATAGCCACAAGAAGAATAGTCGACAGCTATTAGGCATGAGGAAACTATAGCACTTCGAGGTAGAAGAAAAACACCCAAGAATATTATGAGCACCATTAACATCGAGGTGCAATCAGTCTGATGAAGTGCAAAATAGGAAATAGATTTTCTCATGTAAAATAGGAAATAAGATTATTCTTAAAAGACTTATTTTCATATTAGGTTAAGATCAAATTACTTCCTAGATTAATGTTTTGTTTTTTGCTATAAATTCATTGTACATTTCATTGTGAAATGTATAAAACAAAGTATTTCTTCACATGGTATCAGAGCCATGTCTCTGAAGTTCCAATTTTTTCTCTCTTTCTTTTTTTTTTTTTTTTTTTTTTTTTTTTTTTTTTCGGTAATTGCTCTCCAGCAACAATCAGGATCTGGTATAATCATACCAGTCTAATTGTCTCCTCATCGTCGTCATAACCAAGTGGTTTCACTCGTCAACCGTCGCTACACGCGCCCTCACACGCCGATCGAGTTTCCAACAGCCTCTGCTCCGATCTGCTTTTCCGGCGAGCGTGAGCTCTCACTGCCACCAACATCTTGTTCTCTCCACCTCGCCGGCAAAACCCTTCAAGGAATTTCAGTCAGTTTCTGCTCCGATCTGTTTTTCCAGCGAGCGTGAGCTTCTGCTTTTCTGTCAGCTTCAAGACACTCTGATCTTCTTCATGGATCCTCTTAAATCAGCCTCTTAGTCACATCTAAGTGGTTTTCTTTTTTATACTCTCCCTCCCATCACCACTGAGAAATTAATTGAGACTGCTAATTATTCATCCTGGGCTACCTCTGGAATTATGGTGTATGGGTCAGGTCTGGAGGATCACTTGACCACCAAGGCTGTCGATATTACATCAGATAAGTCTTCCTAGACAAAATTGATGTCTGTTTGTAGTATGTTATGGCAAACTATTGATCCCTCCCTTCACCCTATTTACAATCTCACCGCTCTTGTGTTGATATTTGGAGTCAGGCTAAACTTCTCTATACAAATGACATTTAACGTTTATATTCTGTTGTGTCAACTTAGTTCATCTCAATAACAGGATATGAATATGTCGGACTTCCTTGGTAAGATGGCCTCCCTTAAGACAGAATTCAATCTGTTGTTACCAGCTGGTAAATCTGCGGCAGAAGATTTGGCTCAACGGGACAAGTTTTTTATGGTCCTGACACTTGTAGCTCTAGGTCAGATCTTACACCTATTCGAGATCAAATCCTTTCTGGATCTAGTGCCTTCCCTTGATGAAGTGTCTGCCAGATTACTTCGTGTTTCCTCCCCTACTACAGTGCATTCCCCTGGTGACTCTTCAGTTCTTGTTTCTCAGTCCCACACTTTTACTAAAGAGAATAGGGCGATCAGGTGGTAGAGGAAATCGACCCAAGTGTAGTTACTGTCATCGATAGGGGCATACCAGAGAGAGTTTTAAGTTACATGGTCGACCTACCTGGGCTGCTAATATTGCTTAGGCTGATCACTTTGATCTATTCTGAGTCATCTACAATGCATGTTCAGCCCTCCTTAACTCTCATAGGTACTGATTATGATGAATACTTACAGTATCAGGCAGTAAGCAGTCTTCTTCATCCATGGCCTCCGTCGCTCAAACAGTACTTCAGTGCCTGCCTTTCTCAGTCTTCAGCTCTAGGACCTTGGGTCCTGGATTCAGGTACCTCGATCATATTACTGGTAACCCTCGTTTACTTACTAGATTACAAATACTGCATCTTACCCCTGTTACTTTAGCTAATAGGTCTAAAGCCGATGTTCAAGCTATTGGTGTGCAAAACCTCCCTTCCTTAGAATTAAACTCTGTGCTTATATTCCCCACTGTCCCTTTGATCTCGTGTCTGTCAGTAAACTTACAGTTTTTTCAATTGCTTATTCGTTTTGATACTGACTCTGTTGTTATACAAGACCGTGACATGAGACGGTTGATTGGCACAGGACTGAGTCATAGGGTCTTATCTCCATATCCCTCTACAGCATGCACTGTCTCGAGTCATCGGATCTTCCTTCATAATCGTTTGGGCCATCCTGTCTTTCCAAACTTCAGAAAAATGATCCCAGGTCTATCTAAATTATCTCCTTGAGTTGTGAGTCGTGTCAACTTGGAAAGCATACTCGTAGTTCTTTCCAAAGCGTGTCAATAAACGGGCTGCGTCCCCCTATGAGTGCATTCAGATGTGTGGGGTCCTTGTCGTGTTACCTCTAATTTGGGATTTAAATATTTTGTTACCTTTATTGATGACTATTCCCGTTGCACTTAGTTATTTCTTATGAGATCTGTTCTGAATTATTTTCCATTTTTCATCATTTTGTGCTGAAATTAAGACTCAACAAATACTACCATTCGTATATACGGAGTGATAATGCTCATGAATATTTCTCTGATTCCTTTACTAAATTCATGTCATCTCAGGGAATTCTTCACAGTCTTTGTGCTTATAGTCCCCAACAGAATGGCATTGCTGAGCATAAAAATAGACACCTCATTGAAATTGCTCGCACTTTCTTTTACATAGCCACGTCTGTTTCCGTTTTTGGGATGACGCTGTTCTAATTGCTTTTACTTAATCAATTGCATGCCCTTCTGTCTTACAAGACTAGGTCCCACACTCCATATTATCCCTGATCATCCATATGTTCTCTTCCCCCAGTGTCTTTGGGAGCACCTATTTTTGTTCACATTTTCTCTCATGGTCGGATAAACTGTCAGCCAAGTCTACGAAGTGTATTTTCTTAAGGTATTCACGCCTTCAGAAGGGCTACAAGTGTTATTCTCCCGCCACACATCGCTACTTCATCTTTGCTGATGTTACGTTCTTTTTCTTCTCCATTTTTTCCTCATCCTACATTAGAGTCTGATCCGATAGTAGATGTCCACCAATTCCATACATTGCTTTTCCACCTTCGTGTTTCGGTACCTCAATCTACTAATACCACTCTTCTGTCAACAATAGTCTTGTTCCTTTTACAGGTGATCCTGATGTTCCTACTGCTGTTCCTGAGACCCTATCATTGCAGGTCCTGTGCTTGATTCCTCCAATGCCACGGTCTTGTCTCAAGCTGATCAGTTTCCGATTGCTATTCGTAAAGGTATGCGGTCTACACGCAACCCTCATCCCATCTACAATTTTTTGAGTTATCATCGTTATTTCCTTCATATTATGCCTTTGTATCCACCCTTTCTTCTGTTTCTGTTCCTTGCACTGTTATGAGGCACTTTCTCATCCGGTGGTGTTAGGCAATGGTTGAAGAAATGTCACTTTGCATCATAATCATACTTGGGAGTTAGTTTCCTTACTCTGGGCCATTCGACTGTTGGTTGTCGATGGATTTACACTGTAAATGTTGGTCCAGATGGTAAGGTTGATTGGCTGAAAGCCCATTTGGTGGCAAGGGCTACACTCAGATCTATGGGATAAATTATTTTGACATTTTTTCTCCTGTTGCTAAGATGTCTTCCGTCCGGTTGTTCTTTGCTATGGCTGCCATTCGACACTGGCCTATGCATAATTGGATTTAAGAATGTTTTTCTTCATGGTGAACTTCAGGAAGATATTTATATGGAGCAAACCTCAGTTTGTTGCTTAGGGGTAGAGGTGGAAAAGCAACCCGTCGGCCCGGCCCGGCCGGCCTGACCGACCGACCCACGACAGGTTGCTTATAATGGCAGGTCGGTCCTGACCCGCCCGGTAACATTGGCAAGCCGAGTTAGGCCCGCCAATGTTAGGGAATGGCTGGCCCAACCCGGATCGCCAACCCTAACCTGCCGAGTTAGGCCGCGGGTTGGGCCGGTTAACCCTCTTTTTATTTTTATTTTTTTTTTATTTCTTTAAGTTTAAATGTTTAATTAACTTTTCAAATGATAATAAACAATTTATAAAGAATAAATGTATTGCTTTTAGTTACTTGTTAATTTCTTTTCAATATCAATAATGAAATTAAATAAATTTTTTTTTTGTTAACATTCCAAATATTATTCAATTTTATACATAAAATTGTAATATAAGAATATTAAATTTATTCTTTATTAAAAATAAAATAAGAAATTACAATAATTATTGCCCGTTAAAAACCTCACCAAGAAAAACCCAATATGATAAAAACTTGGTAAGGAAAAAGAGTGGAATCATTGACAATTAATTTACAATTTATAATTACAAAACAACTAATTTTTGGGTTCACTAGGACCTCCCTCATCCGTATCATCTATATTACAAAATTGAAATGATTCCATTAAAGTATCGTCGACAACCTCGTATTGACCGGATGGCACGACCGTTCCCAATCTCGAAGACAGTGAGGACTTCAATCATATTTGGTGAAAGTTTAGTCCTCCTTTCATTAAAATTCTTCCACTTGCACTAAATGTTTGTTCGGATGAGACGGTTGAGACAGGAACAGCGAAAACATCCAAGGCAAGTCTTGATAATATCGGAAAAAACATTTTTTCTGGCTCTCCATAGTCTAGAGATCAATGTGGCCTCGTTGTGGATCTATCGATAACATTTCAGGGGTTGCCAAATATTGTTGAAGCTCATTACTCTACGACGATGGAAGACAGTACTAGTTGTTGTTGTTGGTGGAGCTTCTGAAGAGGAGGCTGTGCTTCGGATTCAGGTCCTCTTCGACCTATTCAGTGCACCCCAAGAGTAGAAGTCTTCATTTGTTCTTCTGATGTAGCTTCCTGATGTTTCGCCTTTTTGTGGGTTCCCATACCTGTTTTCATACTGGATATACTTCAAAAAGTGTATTTTTTACCTCTCCT